TTGGAACACCTAATAATAACCATTTAGATATTGAAAAGATTGATTGTTAGTAAAGCAGCTGAAGTGTATTTGCTGTGCTAGAAATTAAAGCTTTTGTCTTTTGTGCAGACATATGCAGGCTCTATAGCAGTGCAAGATGTTCAACAAATCTTTTGGTGCTCCCTTTGGGGGAGGGACAGGAGGATTTGGGACTACTTCAACATTTGGGCAACAAAGTAAGTTAATATGTATGCTAAGGTATTTTATATGTAAAGGAATTTGAGAACTAAGAATTAATACTGTACAGAGATAAAGAATTTTGTGTTACCTTTGTCATCAGATACTGGATTTGGAGCAACAGGAGGCTTTGGATCTTCAGCATTTGGGGCAACAAACAACACAGGGGGACTGTTCGGGACCACCCAGAACAAACCTGGTATGCTGTTTTCTGTAGCAGTAGGTGTATGCAGAATCTCACAGCCATCTTTAAATGCTCATAGAATCTATCAGTTTTTAAAACATTGTTTTTTTTATTTACTTGTATTTGTTCCTTATTTGTATTAAAATTTGTGTTTGTCCTCAAGGTGGCCTATTTGGCCCGAGCACCTTCAGTCAGCCTGTCACATCCTCCACCAGTAGTGGGTTTGGGTTTGGTGCTACCAGTGGCACATCAAACAGCCTTTTTGGAAGCACCAACACTGGAGGTGGAGGATTGTTTTCCCAGCAGAATAATGCCTTTGGTGCCAACAAACCAGCCAATTTTGGCAGTAAGTTTCCTGCAGCATTCCAATGTAGCTATAAATTGTTTGATTTATTGTAGAAGTAGTGTCTTGGATTAAAAGGATAGCTCAGACATAATGGACCTAAGTAACTGTTTGAATTGCTTTGCAGCTTTTGGTACCAGCACCAGTAGCGGTGGATTATTCGGGACAACCAACACAACATCCAACCCTTTTGGAGGAACATCAGGCTCTTTGTTCGGGTCATCAAGTTTCACTGCTGCTCCCCCTGGCACAACAATCAAATTCAATGTTCGTTTAGAAATGATTATACTTTTTTTCTTTTTTCTTTTTTTTTTCTTACTGGTAATTTAGGTACTTTTTCATACATGGTTTTTTACCTAAATCGTTTGCGTTTTGCTGCAGCCACCAACTGGGAGTGACACAATGGTAAAAGGAGGTGTGACAACCAGCATCAACACCAAACACCAGTGTATCACTGCCATGAAGGAATACGAGAGCAAATCCCTAGAGGTAGGTTGGATTCTCTTGTTGTGATAGTTGTTTTAGTACTTGGCAGCCTGCTGAAATAATTGTCACAAGCACTGTTTGTCAGGTGCTTTGATAAACAGTCTGCAGAGAACAAAATGTGTAACAATTCTGTTGTCTAGAGTTTTGAGGATTTAAAGCCATGATGAAATATCTATGCCTTTCTTTCCTTGATTTTAGGAATTAAGGTTTGAGGATTACCAGGCAGGAAGGAAGGGTCCTTCCAACCCCATGGCAGCTGGCACGGGTGGCCTCTTTGGTGCAACAGCCACAGCTACTCCCAGTACTGGCACTGGACTCTTTGGATCCTCAACTCCAAACACTGGCTTCAGCTTCGGCCAGAACAAGACCTCATTTGGCACAAGTAATTGGTTCTTCCTTATTTTTTTTATTTGGATTTTTTTTTTTTGTGTTGAAAAAGTGTGCTAAGTCTTTGCACTGCAGGCACCGGGGCCTTTGGTACAACTACAGGAAGTTTGTTTGGCCAGCCGCAACAGCAACAACAACAACAACAACAGCAACAACAACAACAGCAAGGTTCCAGTCTCTTCAAACCATTTGGCTCAGCTACCACCACCCAAAACAACACTTTCTCCTTTGGCAACAGCAGCAGCATGGTGAGTTCCAGCAGTAGTAAATGTCTGCACTGACTTACTAAATATTCTTAACTGATCTTATTAATCTAACATCTGGGCCCGTATTCACAAAACATCTTAAGGCTAAAAGAAACTTATAACTCGCCGATTTAGGAGAATATTTTAAAAATAATGGGCGTGTCCATCCTAAATTTAGGACTCCTACATTTTTGCTCTAAGAGTATTTCACAAAGTGTTTTAGCGCTAAAACTAGCTCCTAAATATGTGAAAGGTTAGGAGTAGTGAAGAGGACTCCTAAGTCACTAAGACCAAGCCACAAACTATTCCTAAAATGGCTGCTGCTGGCAATCTGCCTCTGAACGTAAACATTTTTGAAACATTTACATTTACATTTAGTCATTTTGCAGACGCTTTTATCCGAAGCGACTTACAATTGGGGGATACATAAAGCGATTCTTCTTAAAGAGGCAAACAGATACAGGAAGTGCTTGTAATACCAAGTTTCTAGACATTGTTCAAATAAGTACAAGCTAGAAAGAGAAGGAATCAATAAAGAGAGAATTTTTTTTTTATTTTTTTTTTTTATGATGATGATGAAGTCAAGTAGCTTTGAAAGAGATGAGTTTTCAGCTGTCGCTTGAAAATTGTCAGGGATTCAGCATTCCGGATAGGGGTGGGAAGATCGTTCCACCAGCCAGGAATGGTGAACGAGAATGTTCTGGAAAGTGATTTTGAGCCTCTCTGTGATGGTACCACGAGGCGTCGCTCACTAGCGGATCTCAGACTTCTGGAGGGGATGTAGATTCGTAGTAGTGAATGGAAGTAGGCGGGTGCTGAGCCTGTGGCTGTTCTATATGCAAGCATCAATGTCTTGAACTTGATTCGAGCCGCGACCGGTAGCCAGTGCAAGGAGATAAAGAGAGGTGTAACATGGGCTATTTTGGGCTCGTTGAAGACCAGTCGTACCGCTGCATTTTGAATCATTTGTAGAGGTTTGATTGTGCTTGATGGAAGTCCAGCCAGGAGAGCATTGCAGTAGTCCAGCCTAGAAATGACAAGGGCCTGGACAAGAAGTTGTGCAGCATGCTCCGTTAGCATGCAACGTTGTGCATCATTTGATGATAATGACCTTTTAAAAAGGTATCACCTTTGGTTTTGAAGGTTACCCCAATTCCAAATTTTCCTTTGATTATATCCTTGTTTTCATTAACCATTTTGGCAAGAAGTAACAGCTGGTCTTGCGTCCAATTTTTTATTTTTTTAAATTTTTTTTAGCATTTGCATGTCTTACTATCAGCCATGATTATTCTTCTCTGTTAATTAAAAGGCTGTTTATATGCATATCCGCTAATTGTTTTTAAGAAGCATGTAAGAGGCTGACAAAAAGCTGAACATATACTTATTTAATTAGTGACACTTATCCTGCATTTTAAAATCTTTATTTGAATGTGGCCAGGGGCTTAATTTGTGGGGGGACAGGGGGATATAACCTCGAATCAAGCTATTAATTAATTATTTGAATAATTTTATAAGCACTAACTTTACTTATGAACCAAACGGAGTTCATGAGCGGCATGCGAATCATTGTATACTCTGCGCGCATTCACCAGCGCGCTCGAGAAGTGTGATAAGATTTGCACGAGCCATTCATATCGCGAAGCTGATGGTCAAATATGTGATCTATTTGAATTATTTAGAGAAACAGACACTTTAAAATGCTATGGAGAAAGTTGAACAGTAGCTAAAAAAGGCAAATAAACTAAAAAGACTGATGAAAAGAGGAGAAAACAGTCTTGAACCAGCACTAACATATATAAAAATATTTTTTAAACTACTCATGACCACCTTTACTAGAATTTATCACGTTTTATTGTAGGCTTATTTATTGTGTAAAACTTAGTCTAACGTGTAGAATTTGTATTCGATAATCTGTTAAGGAAATATCTTTTTCACTATAATATCTTTCCTAATAATTTTTATTACTACTGTGGCATGTTGTAGCTATTGGTTCTAAATGTGCAGGCGGTTGTTTCTTACATTTACATTTAGTCATTTAGCAGATGCTTTTGTCCAAAGCGACTTACAAATGAGGACAATAAAAGCAGTCAAAACTAACAAAAGAGCAACAATATGTAAGTGCAAATGCCTAACGCAGTACACGTAGCAAGGTGTGTGTGTGTGTGTGTGTGTGTGTGTGTATATATATATATATATATATATTACACATTCACACACACACACACACAAAGAAAAACAAGTAGATAGAATTTAAAAAATAGAAAGCTAGTGTTTGTTTGTTTTTTGTTTTTTTTAAATAAAAAAAATAAAAAAAGATAAATATAGATAATGTAGAATTAAAATAGAATAGAAAGTGTTAGAGTTAGAGGGTCAAATAAAGGTGGAACAGATGTGTTTTTAGTCATTTCTCGAAGATGGTTAAGGACTCAGCTGCTCGAATTGATTTGGTCAGGTCATTCGACCAGGAGGGAACCGTTAATGAAAAAGTCAGTGAAAGTGATTTTGTGCCTCTCTCGTTCAAGTGTTTTTGCAAAGAAAGGTAGAAGGGAAGTGTAGGTCTGTAGTTCTCTAAAAGAGTTGGGTTAAAGGGGTCATATGATGCGATTTAAATTTTTCCTTTCTCTTTGGAGTGTTACAAGCTCTTGGTGCATAAAGGCCGGCCGTTCCTCACTTTATCCCCCGGCCTCTGCTCACTCGGCCCGCCGGCTGTTCCTAACGTTATCCCCCGGCCTCTGCTCACTCAGCCCGCCGGCCGTTCCAAACTTTATCCCCCGGCCTCTGCTCACTCGGCCCGCCGGCCGTTCCTCACTTTATCCCCCGGCCTCTGCTCACTCGGCCCGCCGGCTGTTCCTAACGTTATCCCCCGGCCTCTGCTCACTCAGCCCGCCGGCCGTTCCAAACTTTATCCCCCGGCCTCTGCTCACTCGGCCCGCCGGCCGTTCCTCACTTTATCCCCCGGCCTCTGCTCACTCGGCCCGCCGGCTGTTCCTAACGTTATCCCCCGGCCTCTGCTCACTCAGCCCGCCGGCCGTTCCAAACTTTATCCCCCGGCCTCTGCTCACTCGGCCCGCCGGCCGTTCCTCACTTTATCCCCCGGCCTCTGCTCACTCGGCCCGCCGGCTGTTCCTAACTTTATCCCCCGGCCTCTGCTCACTCAGCCCGCCGGCCGTTCCTCACTTTATCCCCCGGCCTCTGCTCACTCAGCCCACCAGCCGTTCCTCACTTTATCCCCCGGCCTCTGCTCACTTAAGGCCGCCGTGTGTGACGCTGTGTTTCGTTGTGAAAACGAAACTACTTTGTTTGGCCTTACAAAAATGGACACGACTAGAAATCAGTGGTTAAGTTGTATTTACAACACTGTTCCAGAACACTTCAACCGAAATATTCAGATGTGTGCAGCACATTTTATGGAGGACTGTTTCCTGATCCTGGGAGAGTAGACTACAATGACGGCTGCTCTGACTCACAGAAGGGGCATAACATTTCTGTCACACGCTTGAGGTATTCGGCCAATCACATTTGGGGGTTGGTGTTAAAGAATTGTGTTAATAGCCCCTACAAATACAGGTCATTATATACTAGGGCTGCACGATAAATCGCATATGATATTTAACGCGCATCTTATCAGTAAAGCCGGTTCTGTAATCAGCGGT